ACGCCGCCGTCGCCGCTCTTCCTTCCCCATCGCACGGTAGATTCGGCTGCAACAGGGAGTGCAGCGGCGAGCTTCTCTCTTTCGATTTGGTTCCTAATTCTTCAATAATTCGAGGTGATTCGTGGTTTCTATACCTTCCGTTAGCGTTAATTCGTAGATTAGAACTTCCTTAACGTATAATTTAGTAATTGATTGTGAATTTGATTGTTAATTGATGAAATTGGTTGGGTTTGAAGAAATTGGGGGTTGAACACCGCCGAATTCCGGTGAGAAGCCGCCGGCGGACGGCGCTAGTCCGGTCAGGGCTCCAGCAGTTGCTTGGGTTGGCTATGGGGGAATTCAATTGGGCCCGATTAGTTTCCATTGGATTCAATTTGGGTCTAATTGGGTTCAATCGGGTCCGTTTGGGTGCAATTGGGTGTAATCGAGTCTGTTGGGACTCAAATTGATGCAATTGGGCTTGTTTGGGGCTGTTTGGGTGGCCAGGAAATACCAAACGGGGCTGCTTGGTCTGGCTTTGGATTTGGGCAGCCGGGGCGGCTACCGGCGGGGTGCCGGGGTTGTTCCGGCGACTATGGGGACTGCTCCGGCGGGGGCAGCGGGCCCGAGGGTCGATTCTTTGGGCTCGATTTCCCGCAGGTAAGTTGGGCTGACTGTGATTTGAGTTTGTTTGATTATGCATGACGGTAATTATGGGTCTTCGGCCCGGATAGGCCGCTACGTGATTTGTTGTGAATTGTGAATTGAGATTTAATTTAAATTGATCTTATTGGTGAAGATTGTGGATTATGAATAAAATATGAGAAATAGGCCACCTAGTATAATTAGGCGGACCTGAATTGGATTGACTGTTTGAATCACCAATAGGATATGGTTAGGAAGTTGGCTATTGTGGGGCGTCGTCGCACCCCCGGTGGTCTTGGGTTAAAAACGTACGTACGGAAGTCCGCGACCTGTCCTGGCATCGCAGGGATAGGGGCTTCAACCCGCCCAAAGTGAATCTCCTTTGGGTTTCTGAGCTGGCCCTTTTATAGCATCGCTTGGGGTGCCATGACTCAAAGTAGTTGATGTGGAATAAAAAAAGGATATGATGTTCAAATAGAAGGTGTTAAAATAAATATGTTTAT